GATGCAGATGAAAACAACACTGAGATTCCACCTCACCCCACAAAGAATGGCTGCTATCAAGAAATCACACAATAACAAATGTTGGCGGGGTTGTGGGGAGAAAGGAACCCTCCTCCATTGTTGGTGGGAGTGCAGACTAGTGCAACCACTATGGAAATCAATATGGAGATACCTCAAAGAGCTTGGACTGGAGGTTCCATTTGACCCAGCCATCCCTCTGTTGGGTATCTTTCCAAGAGAACTAAAAGAATCATATCACAGAGAAGTATGTGCACCCATGTTTATAGCGGCACAGTTTGTAATAGCTAAATCTTGGAAACAACCTATTTGCCCATCCGTTGGAAACTGGATAAAGAAGTTGTGGTTTTTCTATAAAATGGAATATTACTCAGCCATAAAGAGCGAGAGAATAGATTCATTCATAGGAAAATGGATACATATTGAAGATATACTCCTAAGTGAAATAAATAAGTCCCACATGTGTAAATACCAAATAGTTTCCCTGGTGTGAATATTCTGCAACAATGCATAAGATTCTAATAAGATTACTGACATTTAGAAATGGGAGGAAAGGAGCTAAAGGTGTAGGGAAGGTGTGATACGTAGGGGAAGAACAAAAAGGGAAAAGAAAAAAATGTGAGAGAATGAAAAGATGAAAATAAAGTGTTTGTAGATGGGGAGGGGAGGAGGGGGTGAAGGGAGGGCAGAGGTAAGGGGAAAAAATGAGAATCAAGACTTGCCATGTAAAGGTACATGATCCCAACAATGAATGTAACTGTACTGTATCCCTAACATGTACCAATAAACTCAATAAAATAAAAAAAAAAAATTAGAGCCCACCCAAATTGAAGACCCAATCAAATCACGGGCAAGTACAATGAATAGACACTTCTCAAAGAAGTACAAAGGGATAATAAATGCATGAAAAAATGTTCAACATTAATTAGGAAAATATCACATATTTGAAAAATAATACTTTTTAATCCATGGGCAATAAAGAAACTGCACAGGTGGTCAGAAATTATTTCCAACTGAATAAAATGAAAATGCAATATATTAAAATGTGTACGATGCAGCTGAAACATGCTTGTAGGGAAATAAAAAGTTTAATTATGTAAGTAAACAAGCAAGATCTAAATCATTCGTATAAGCTCTTGTCTTAAGAAGCGAGAAAAAGGAGAGTGGATTAAACTTATGGTAAGTATAAGGATGAAAATAAAGATAAGATCAGAAATCAATGAAATAGAGAAAAATTCATAACAGACAAAAATCAATGAAATAAAAAGCTAGCATTTGAAGAGATTAATAAAATTGATAAGCCTATTGCAGTAAAAAGGAAAGCAGGAACACTGCCACGTATCCTCCAAACATTAAGTGGATCATAAAGAAATATTGTGAATTATTTTATGCCCACAGATTCACCCGCACAGATGAGGTAGACAAATTCCCTTTCAAATATGTCTTACCAAAATTGACACAAGAAGAAATAAAAATCCTAAATAGTCTATGTCTATTAAACAAATGGAATTCACTGTCAAAAACTTTACCATGCCCCCACCAAAAAAAACTCCCTGCCAGAAGTGTGGGTGAGGGTTTTCACCAAGAGCTGGATTTCCTGCAGGTGGACCCAGAATCTGAGGTTTCTGGAGAAATGTGCAGATAAAAACTAAAACTCTACACTCGGCTCAGAGCAGTGCTCACGAGCACAGCGCAGCGCCAAGGACCCAGTAGCTGCTCCCATTCCCTGTGCTCTGGGTCAGCGCCAGGGCCATGGAACAGTGCTTCCCATCCCCTCAGCAAACCTGGAAGGCTGGTGCAGTGCTGTGGTTTTTACCCTTACTTTTTCGTTGAGACCTGTCAAAGAGGGTAAGTGACGTACTGTGATAGTTAATTGTGGTGTCTACTTGAAAAAAAAACAAACCAAATCAGCCCTAGCAGATTAGGGGAGCACAGTTCTGGGTGTGTCTGGATGATGGACGTACGGAAGAGGGAAGCCCCACCCTGGTTGTGGGTGGCACCAACCAATAGACCTTTACCCAGCAAGGAATACTACAGGAGCGAAGGAAGTGTACCTTGTGGCCTCTTTGGAGGAGCCAGTCTTTGCCATTTCCTTTGGACTCAGGTTTCCAGCACACCCTCCTGCCTTCCAGTGCAGATCTCGCTTTCCCAGATGACTTGCAGCAGACTCTGCAGTGAGCTCCAGCTTTTTTACTTCTGCCTGGATCCTCCTGCTCTACGGCATGCAGATGGCCCTTTTGCATTCTCCCACTCACCATTACAAATCTACTTGGTAAATCCTTTACATATTTAATCTGTTCTTTTAGTGAACCCCAACTGACACACTTACCCAAGGTCGCACAGCTAAGCTCAAGAAGCTTGACCCCAGCGCCTTAATTCTTGTTCTGCCCACTCTATGCCCCTTCTAATTACTACTAGACTTCCTGGGTGTGCTCTGAGCTGGAAGAGAGTCACTGACTTTCCACTCCAGGTCAGTCTTCTTCCTCCCCCTGCCACCCACCCTGCCTGGGTCAGAAACTTCAGAACCTTCATCTTAACCTTCTCCTATCACATGTAGGAGCCATCAGTCTGTCCCAAGAGCTCTGTCTCCAAATTCCTGGAGAGTCTGGACCTGACCACCCCTTACCACCTCAGAGCCCACACCTGCCTCCATCATGTCCAGCCCACCCGGACACAGTGGGCTTCTGCAGCCCATCTTGGCCTCGCCCTGTCTATCCCTCCCATGGCAGCCAGTTGGCTATTCTAAGGATGACAAGCAGCTTCCTCCCCTGCTAAAAAATCCTCTCACAGTTCCCATCACATGTGGCACAAAATCCCCTCTACCCCATCTGATACTTTTTTCCAGTGCTTCTTTCCATCTCCTCTTCCCTACTACGCTTTCTCCTGCTGCAAATTTCTCTTGCTCAGGACCTAGGCCCAGACTGCTTCCTCTTCTTGGATCCCTTACTCCCTAGGTATTCATCTCTTTCCATCCCTAGATTCCTTTCCCCCATCATCCCAACTCCTTCCATCACTGAGCCCCCACTCAAAAGTTCTGGCCTCCCAGGACTTTCCCTGCACCCCTGGCTCAAGCAGTCTTTCTTCCCCGTCATTCTATCACACAAATCCTCATTTGATTCATTCACGGTCCTTCTGTGCATGTAAATGATCTTATTCATTTGAGCAATCAACACAGTGAACAAGCATAGTTCAAGAGACACTCTTGAAGTCCTGTTATTTCTGTCTTCCACCGTGCATTTTAATTTTTCAGCCACTTCCCACTCTGAATGAAGATTGAGGCGGGCCCCAAGACTTTCTGGTCATTCTTAAGCAGCCAGACCCAAAGTCTTCCCACTTATACTTCAAATGCCAGGCCCTGTGCAATAGTCAGAAGCTCAACCTCGTTCTCCTGCAAGTCTTTGCCCCTTCCTTGCTCCAAGTTCTCTGCCAATGGAGAATGCCCAGGAGCGGCTGCCCTTCCCCTAGGTGCTTTCCTGGCTCTGCCTTCTGGGCTCGGTTGCCAGGAGGAAGAAAAAGGGGAAGGAGTCCTTGCTCCCCTGGTGACATTCGAGCCCCCCCACCAAGCCTCTCCCCTACTATCCCTTGCCAAGGGTAAATTCATCTCTCTTCCAGCCACAGGCACATCGTAGCCACCTGCAGGTGTCCATAGGTCTTTCTCCTCTGGTCTGCTGGATGACCCCACCCCGGCAATCTTCCACACAGGATGTAAGATGCCCTGTGCTGGCTCCTCCGTGCAGGCTATTGTCCCGGCGGCAGGGCACACTCGCAGATGTGCTTCTGTGCAAACCTCTAGGGAGTGGGAGGTCCAGCATCACCCCCAGTGACCTCAGAAAGCAAGGGGTCATGTTGCAGTGGGCACCGAGTGGCCTCCTTCCTGCCATAGCACAGCCCTTGTAGGCAGAGCCTGCAGGCCCAGCAGCTCTGTCTGAGGTCGGCTCAGTGTCGAGCTGGCTCCACTGCCTCCTGTGTGCATCTATGCTTAGCATCTCGGCCAAAGCTTCGGGTTCCGCATACCGCACCTGGCCAGCTCCCCTGTAAGAGTGCGCACTCCTTGAGGACAATGCTCTCTCTGCAGTTTAAGCACGTGTGGACCTGAGGCCTGGAAACTCCAGGGTGCCGGCAGAACAAACACAGCCTCATCAGCCCAGGCTGAGATCCTGTGTGGCTCACGCCAGCCCCCCTGGTAGGTTTGTCTCAGACAAGGGCAAGGGAGGGGCACAGGGAAGTTGGTGGGGACTCAAAAGGCTGAACCCAGTCCCCCGCTTCTCAGGCTGTGGATTGGAAGCAGGGCCCAGGACAGAGGACGGTGGGAGGTGGGGCTGCAGCGCACATCTGCAGGCTGAGGTCTAGGGAGCAAGGGGGTGGGCGCGAAAAGGTCCAATCTAGAGAGAATTGCATGCTGCCCTGAGGAAAAAGATTCATGGTACTGGTCATTTCCAGTCACACCATTTTTTTTTTTTTTTTTTTGCCACTGACAGAGCAGGGAAAGTTCTAGAAGCCAGGGCCATCACAAAGGCCTGCCTTTCTGCCCCTGCCCCCAGGGCCCAGCCCTCTGGCCAAATGAAGTGGAAGGAGGCATCCTTCCGCTGTGGCCTGTCAGTCACACCACCGACACAGATGCGACAGGACTCAGCCTCGGCCTGGGCTATGAGCTGACTGAGCACCTGTCCTCCAGAGACAGGCGGATGCTCTCCTATTCTTTTCCTTCCATTCAAATCCCAAGAATCTTCCCTAGGGAGCCAGAGGAGGGCTGGGTCTGCCAGGTGTTCTGTGGTGGTCAGGGTGCGGGCTGCTCCGAGGTGATCCCGGTAGGAATCCCATGGGGCTCTGTAATGTCTACAAGGCCTTGGGCACAGCACCTTGAGACTCCATATTTTCCCTTTTGTTGTTGTTGTTGTTGTGAGTGGGAATTGAAACCAGGCAGCACTGAGCCCTTTTTATTTTGTTTTGAGACAGGGTCTTGCTAAGTGACCCAGGCTAGGCTCAAACTTGCCATCCTCCTGCCTCAGCCTCCCTAGTAGCTGAGTAACTGGGATAACGGGTATTCTCCTGGTGGTACTCAGTTTCTTTGTGACTGGAGAGGATTACAGAGGTTCTGACTTGAGCGAGTGTAAGGTCTGGTGTGAACCCTCATTACAATGAGGTGGGAAAGACTGTGTCACAAGGCCTACACAAATGCAGAAGTCCTCAGCAGAAACTCAGAGTGGTCCCCGTGCGGCCTGTGCCCTCCCAACCCACCGGAGGGATCCAGAAGTGCACTGTGACACAGCTACTTTAAATCAACAAGTGCAGGTCTTCTGTGAGATTCCCCTTAACAGAGCCCTTCTGCATGTGGGAACTGATGCTCGGGAGTGAACACAGCTCTGGCATCGCAAAGACTGTGTGAGCTGGGCTGAGCCATCTTCCAGTTTCTTTGGTGGCAATGACAATGCCTCCCCACCCCAGGGGCAGCTTCAGTGATGAACGAGGGAAAACGTGCAAATTGCCCGGCCAGGGTAAGAGCTTCACAAAGAGAATCTCCAGAGCTCCCCGCAACGGAGCCTACTCAGGGCTGGGGTCTCTGCTTGCGTCAAAAGTCGCCCACCCGGAAGTCCCCACTGGAGAGGTCCCCGAGAGAGTGCTCTGGTGTTTGCTTCACGTGTCAGCAGAGATGACGTCTAGCACAGAAAGCTCCAGTCCTGTGTGAGATCAGAGAGCAGATGCCAGTGCCCAGGCGGAAGACCTTGCAGACGGAGGTCCACTGTCCACAAGATACATGGCTGTGGCAGTTTCAAACACGTCCAACGTGCTCCTCTTTCCAAGTTGAACAGCTCTGCTCCCTTCCCTGGAGCCCAAGCTGGACTTGTGACTTGCTTCTAACAAGCAGAACGGAACAGAAGTGACTCAGCACCGTAGCTCCTTCGTGGCGACGGAAGAGTCACACAGGGTCGGGGTGAACATGGTGGGTCGCTCGGAAAAGAGCTTGGCAGGATCTGCTGAAGGGAAGCTAGTGCCCGCCAGCCACTCCACTCCCAGGAACACACCTAGGAGAGACACACAGACCACCGAGTGATGAGACCCAGGGTGTGCACGGCAGCACATTTCTAATGGCCGGAAACGACCCACATGCCCAACACAGCAGATGGGAGCGATAAACTGGTTTCTACACACAATGTGACGCTATAGAGTCCGGCTTCTCCGTATGGCCACTGTGGTGGGGAGAGGTCCTGGGTATTGTGGGACAGTGTGTGAGCGGGATCCTTGGGCTCCACTCACTAAGGCCAAACATCTCCTCAGCCAGGACAACCAAAAATGTTCCCAGTTAGTGCCAATTGTCACTTCTGTCCATAACCACTGCTGGACGCCAATAACAAAGAGAATGGAAAAGGAAGAAAAGGAAAAGGAGGAAAGAGGGAAGGAAAAATGGAAGGAACCAAGGAATGCAAGCAATGCTGCCGGGCCCCACATGGATAAATCTCAAAAACATTACATTGAGCAAAAGAAGCTGAGCACCAAAGAGCACCCAGAGCGTGGCTTGGTTTGCACGTGACTCGAGAATCCACTGACGTCACGGCAGCCGCAGCAGCCATGATTCAGGGGAACCCGAGCAGCCTTCGGGGTTCTGAGAAGCAGTCACACAGGTGCACACATATGTAAAAGTGCCTGGAGCTGAACTAATAAAATGAATTTATTTTGCTCAGTCAGAAAGCACTTCTTACAAAATGTATGTGGCAGCTCAGCCACCCCGGTTCTTTGGCCTGCTTTCCATCCCGAGCCCCTTCCAGCCAGCTGTCTGACATCAGCCACCAAAAACTCGCTCCTGGGCCACCTACTCTCCCCCGCCCACCCCTGGGGTGCAGCCCCCACAGTGAAGGGCTCTTCTGCATGAGTGCAGCTGTAGGGAGGACCCCAGCAATGCTCTCCTAGCCCCACTGTCCCACTGAGCCCCACAGGGCCTCTGGCTCAGCCCTTCCCCTGGGGGTGAGGGAGGGCTTTACCCTTGTGTTTTCAGCAGCACCCCCACCCATCACCATGACCCGGACGGGATTCGTGGATGGATGGTGATGGGGCACTGAGCCTTGGCCCTGGCAGAGGGGAACAAACGGGTAAGCGGTAGAGCCATGAGACACATCCTGGAATGGAGAGGGAGGTCGAACACTTCACAGGAGACGTGGAGATGGGGCCACAAGAGGGTTATAGCCTCTGGCATCCCGAAGACTGTGTGAGCTGGGCTGAGCCATCCTCAGGTGGGAAGCCCCGCGTGGACAGAGACACGCAGAAGAGTCCTTTGTTTGTTTGCCTGTTCTCCAATCAGTGCCCTGCACTGCTGGGCACCATGCTTGCGTTGCTGAGAGGAAGGCCAGACTACAGGGGAGATCCGACATGGCCACACTATGTCACAGACCCAGCAGGACCAGCCTCCGCCTTACCCAGGCCAGCAGCCCTTCCGGTGACCGAAGGCTGAGGCTTAGGTGTACAAGTCCCTGTAGGGGAACGAGATGCCAAGTCCACAGCCTCTCCAAACTCAACACACGAAAAGCCAACAAGGGCTCATCAGTCAACAGCAACATGCAAATCAAGACCGCTTCCCGTGCAGCCAGATGGACAGACGGTTTTTTAATGGACCAGTGTTGTGAGGATGGAGAGGAACTGACAGTACATATGGTGCCACTAAGAAAATAAGACGGTTCAGCCACTGTGGAAAATAGTTCAGAAGGTGATCTGAAAACTCCACTCCTCGAGGCACCCAAATTAAAGCAGGTACTCAGCGACTCCGTGGGCTCTAGTATTCATAGCAGCACTATTCGCAAAGCCACACAATAGAAACAACCCATCAGCAACTGAAAGAATAAACACACAGTGGCGTGTGCATCTATGATAATGTTATTCAGCCACAAGGAAGGGAAGGGACTGTCATTTCATGCAGCAACAGATACGAGCCTCAAAAGCATCATGTCGAGCGAAGATCAGGCACCGAAGACCACATATCATGTGATCCCGCTGATACAAAATGTCCAGAACAGGTACAGTCATGAAGATAGAAAGCAGTTTAATGGTTGCCAAGGGCTGGGAGGGGAAAATTTGGAATGTCTAATGGGCGTAGGTTTTCTTTGGGGGTCATGGAAATGTTCTAGAAGTGGGGTTCCAGAGCCTTGTGAACTCAGTAAATGCTACTGACTTGTAAATGTTAAAACGGTTAATTTTATGGCATGTGAATTTCACCTCGATTTTTTTAAAAAACAGGAAGAGATAATCCTTCTCAGAAATGACAGAGGTAGGTTTCCAGGTAGACAAAAGCACATGAAACCTGTTGTTAGGATTTAGATTTTAAATGCTCCCAAAGGCTCGGGCCATTAAGGCCTGGTCCCCCGCTGTGGCACGCTGGCAAGGGGCGGAATCTTTGGAAGGTGGGCCTGGCGAGAGGAAGTGACATCACTGGGGGCGTGGCTTCGAAGGCGCTAAGGACCCGAGCCCCGCCTCCTCTCTAAATCTCTCAGCCGCCGGCCTTGGGGAGAAGCTGGCTGGGGAGGGACAGAGCTGTGAAGAGGAGAGACACTTCGTTTTCACTTCCATTTTTTCCACACTTGTTTTTACTATGTGTCTATATCGTAGGCTCAAGGAAAATATTTATAAAAATTAACAAATAATAACTTAGATAAGCACCGTCCTGGAAAGTTGCCAAGACCACTGCTTTGAAGCTCATTTGTTTGGCCTAATTTTCATAATCTACTCACATTTACATATAAATCTGAGTGACTCCCGAGGAGGACGCGGAGGCACGGCATTCACACTGGAAGGGCGAAGGGCCACAGCGCAGGGTCCAGACTGGAGCGTGGGGACCTGGGGGAGGGGGGAGTCCTCGTTGACCCGCTTGCTTCAGGAAGGTTCCCGTGTGAGAACGAGGACATGTTTCCGCAGGCTTAAGGCAATGTTTCCATTAGGAAGCAGTCAAGCTGGGAAAGGAGGCACCGCGTAGGACACCGAGGCTGAGAGGCTGGTGGTCAGGGAGGGATCTGCCCTCTTCTCAGCCTCCCCAGCTCCTCCGGCCGGAGGGTGGAGTCCGGAGGGTGGAGTCCGGCCTCGCCCTGCTCCCCGGCTTCCTTCTGTGCCACTGGGGGGGTCCTAGCCCAGACTGCAAACACCGGAGTCCTTGCTTTTCTCCTTCCTCCTTTCCCTGCTGTGATTATCTGCTTCCTTTACAATAATAAAGAACTTAGATTAATGAATAATCACCACTTTGTATCAAGTGTCATTGGAGCACTGTGTCCTAACTTCAAGAGGGAGCTGTTACCTCCTCATGCAGACTTGACAGGTGAGACAGTGGAGGTGCAGAGAGGTTAAAGACCCTGCCCGGGTAACACAGCCCGAAATTAGAGCTGGGATTTGATTCCAGAGGCCCGCTGGGCAGCCCAGGCCCTAGCTGGGAGGAGGGCAGGAGCTCCCTGGCCCCCCAAGACTCCCCGCCCCTCCCACCCCATTCCTGCTCCC